CGCCTTCCACCGCGTGGGGCCGCCGCTGCTCATCGAGCACCTGGGGCTGGCGGCGGGCGGCGCCCCGCAGGACTTGCGCCTCTGCGTGGGCTGCAGCTGGGTGCGGGGCCGGCGCATCGGGCGGCTCCGCGGGGCTGCCGCGCCCTCCTCCTCCTCCTCCTCCTCCTCCTCGCTGTCCTACCCGGAGCCGGGCCAGCTGTGGCTGCAGGGGGAGCCGCTCAATTTCTGCTGCCTGGATTTCAGCCTGGAGGAGCTGAAGGGCGAGCCGGGCTGGCGCCTCAACCGCAAGCCCATCGAGTCCACGCTGGTGGCTTGCTTCATGACTCTGGTCATCATAGTGTGGAGCGTGGCCGCCCTCATCTGGCCCGTGCCCATCATCGCCGGCTTCCTGCCCAACGGCATGGAGCAGAGGAGGAGCACCAGCGCCTCAGCCACAGCTGGCGCCGCTGCCAAGTAGCCCCCCCGGAACAGCTGGCGCCGCTGCCCTGTCCCGGGACACCCGTGGCTGGGGGAAGCCACCTCTCGTCCCCCACTCCCCGGCATGTGTGCTGCGAGCTGGCCCGAGACTGGGCTGGGCTGGATTGGCTGCCTTTTTTACTCTCCACTTCCCCTTTGGTGTTTTGACCGGGCTCAAAAAAAAGAAAAAGGGTTTTTTAGGTGTTTTGTTTTTCCCGCCGTTTTTTTGGCAGAGCACCCGGAAGCCTTGCCCCAGGGGCGCTGGGCGCAAAACAGCTGAGGGAGGAGCCCCTTCTGGGCAGGGGATGTAGAGCTAGATCAGACCCCCTCCCTTCGTGTGCTGTGATTCATAGCGGGAAAATGACTAACGCCTGTGTATTTTGGTGTTTTCTAGAGCTCAACAACTGTTTTAAATGAACCTTTTAGTAAAAAAAAAAAGAACAAAAAAAAAAGATCCCCAAGGCAACCCCCTTGGCCCTGTTGAATCGCAGCTGTTGTAGTAATAGTAGCTCTTTGTACCTGAATCCACTTTTTTCTCTTTTTCTGCCCCCCAATGGGAATCTTTATTATTAGCCTCCACTCCTCCAAAAATTCCTGCCCAGGCATATACATCGAAGGTCTGGGTGGCCCTCATGCATACACCATGATCCGGGAGGATCCATGGTTGCCACATTATTATGATTATTATTATTATTATTCTGGCAGGGTTTGAACCCGCTTTCCTGTCTATTGTTATTGCTAACACTGAACTTTAAATGACCTTTTACACTGTATTTGAGAGACTGTGTTTGTTACTGTAGTTCTGCATTCCTTGGCTTTTAATACAGGGATTTGTTTCCTCCCCCTGCCCTCCCTGCCAAATCCAGTCTTTAACTTTGCATCGGTTTAAACTTAAAAGAAGCAGTGCTGCCTTCGGACAGGTGGCTTTGTGGTTTCTGCTGCTGCGCAGAGCTTCTGCAAAGGGCAGTAGTGATAACTTGCTCTCTGCTCTTCAGAGGACAGCAGATGACGCATGTGTCGTATGCGTGGACTAGGGGGAAAAAGTAGAGTATCGGAGTCCTGACAACCTGCTCAGGTGACTCTTGGTGGTGGGGAAGGGGGAGAAATAGCCAGATAATGCCTTTTCTTCCCTTCCACCAGTTCTAGGGGGATGAAGAGGAAGGGGTAAATCAAGTGCAGTAGACATTTACTCCTCAAAAATAATATTAAAATTGAGGGCCCCTTGACCAGTGCTCGGGGCAGTACCGTTATAGGAATCTAATGGGAAAAGAGGATGTTTTGAGATAGAAGAGTTAGCTTTTCACGTGGGGGATGCTCCTGAATGATAGAATCTCTGTCTTTCATGTTGGTCTTTGGCTACTATATATCTGGTAGAATTTCCAAAACCTATGGGTAAGGGGTCATGACTGGATGGATAGGTGGGCAGTGGCATGGTAGTTTTTTGGGGGGAGGCATTTCTGTCAGAGTGGAAATGAAGGATTCAGCAAAACTTCCTAGTCTCCAAATTGGTCAGGCTGGGCTGTCACTAAAAATGCCCTTATGCTGCAGGTGTTATTAGGACAGTAGTTCATTTTTGGCAAGGAGGTAGGGGAAAGATATTACAAAGCTAGGATTAGATTCTGTCTGACCCCTGTGCAAATAGCAGAGAGAGAGAGAGACACAGAGAGAAATTTAAGAAAATAATTTTCTTGTTCTCCCCTCCATAAAATCCAACCGCGATGACAGTCTCAAATGTCCCATGCCTCAAAAGCTTCATACAAGCTAAAGAAAAGTTTTATTTGAACCCTTTAGCCCTTCAAGGGGCCACATCCTACTCATTTTGTATTATAGCGATAGTCCAGCTGAAGTCAGAGACCAACCATGTGAATAAAATAAGCAAGATTTGTGCTAGGATTTTTCTCTAGTTTTTCCCCCACCCTCAGATGACAGCATATTATTTGGTTTGTTGGAAGCTGGGACATATGAGCTCAAGCTAGTGGCTAATTTTGTACGTGAACATTTATCTATCTTCTAATACCGTTTTGGGTAATTAATACTGTTAGTATTGGTTTAAAATATTAGAGGGATTAAACCTTTTAGAACTGGGAGGAGTATTTTGTGTAAGGGGGTATAAAGTATTTTGCTCCTTTCATTGAAAAGCAAAAAGAAAAGGATGTGCTTACATTTTACCTACGATTTCCTGCATAAAAAAGGGATGAAACCTGTTAGAATTGGGAGGAAGGTGGGTAGAGGGTTGTAAGTCAATTATTTTATCAATATTAGGAAAAAAAGAAAAATATTAACAAAGATGTGCAATATTTTCTAGCACATGAAAGTATTGAGAGAGAGTGCAGATGCAGTGCAGTAACTGCACATCTGAATGTATTACAAAAATAAATTATGTAGGTATTTTTAAAATCTTGTTCCAATGGTTTATCCTGCGGCCTTCCTTTTGACCTCAATGGGCATATAGCCTGAATAAACACTACAATACTGCAGTCTTCTTAAGAAGATATACATACATACATACATACATACATACCTACCTACCTACCAGGAGAAATATAAATTTTGCCTATTGATATGAAGGGCATCCTGTCCCATTGTACACTTCCTTCTTGGTTTTGTGAGAAAAAGAAATGCTTTGCTATTTCTGTCTTACAAGGATTAAATTTTTGCAGGAATGAGGAACACACACAAAGTAAATGTTTGCCTTGGTGACTGATAAGCCTCTTTAAATTAAAAAAGGTATAAATGTCCCAGGGGAATGCAGTATCCAGTTAGAGTTGGCTCTGTCAACATCCTATGAAAAGTTTAAGTGCTATAGAGCCTTGTATATAGATAATGAAAGGCCCAGTGAAGATTTATAACACCAACAAAATATTTTGGTTGATAATACCACACCTAGAGACGACCTCCTCTTCAACTAAAGGGCTTGATGGTGCAAAGTACTGAGACCTCTGTTCTTGATCCAGTTAAATATTTAAGCATGTGTTCAAGTGCTTGAGGCCAGATTGTCTTGTTGTTTACACTATTTTTATCAATAAGCTCCACTAATGTCACACAAACTTCACCAATAGAAGCAAGCTTATTGGTTCCAAATGAACCTGCCATTTGGAATAAGCTACTCCATTATTAAAAACTTCTTCATTTACACTGCGACACCCAATTAAAACTCTGTCAAGAATAACTTAAAAGCTGACAATAAAAAGGACACAAGGGTATGAAGTGTAGGACATGTCACCTACCTCAAAGATCAACTTGAATATATATTTTATGAATCTGCAGCTCTGAGTACTGGAAAAAATCTTGCTGTTTTAATTAAAAAAGATGGAAGAAAAAGAACGTGTTTACACTGTACCTACAAATTTTCTGCATAAAAGACGGCAGCCATTAAAACAATTAGTATTTCAGCTGTTTGGATCATGTTCAAAAGAAAAAAACACTGTTGGATATATCCCATCTGCAAGATGTATTAAAGTCATTTGCCCTAGGGATATCAGTATCAGGGTAAAACAACAAGGGGTCCTTCTGCCTAGCTTGGAGATACATCTCTTTGAATTGCGATAATCCTTGGAAGACCTCTGTTTCAAAGCACATCCACCAACACTGCCTCTGGACTCAAAACTCCTGCTCACTGGGGCACCATGAAGCGGCAAGTTCCATGAAGCAGAGGAACCCAGAATCCATTGTAAGGAACCAGAATTTATTTGCTCTACTATACTAAGCAACTTCCATGCCTGTAAAAGGTGGGAGCAAGATTTATTCCCCAAAGAAGAAAGTTTCAGAGTTCAGTACGTGGTAAGAGTAGTATCCCAAGATCACTAACGGTAAAGTGATTACTAGATTTTAAAATCCAAGTGATTATGATAATTTAGTCTAACCTGCATATTACAAGCCACAGAGCTTACTCTGCAATTCCTGCATCTAACACAACATTAATAATAATAGTACCCTTTCTTTTTCTAACTTCGTTCTAGACCAGGAGTTCTCAACCTTTTTAGACTCAATGAAGCCCTTGGAGAAATACCAGCTTTTAGTTTTCATTTGTTTCTTGACTATAGAAAAAATAATAGAGCAGTTCATCTGTTCCAGTGAACGTACAAAGATCACAATGTGTCCAAATGTGTTTAACATTATGGATTCCTATTTAAAATCTCTTCGTTTCTCTTGTGAATCATGTTTGCCTACCTAACAGTGCTAATATGATACCCACAGCACCTTTGAAAGGATCTTAAAGCATCCTGGTTGAAAAAAAAATCAGTGTTCTAAACACTGCTATGACTCAGTCCTGTAGTTCTCATTCATTTGACTGAGAATGGAGAGTTGCAAGGATATTTTGGTGATCTCTTATTGGACCAACCATATAATTGGGAGAGAAATTAGACAAGCTTTTGGGTGTGGAATGTCCTCCTTTGGGTCTGGGAAAGAAGTCAGGCATGAAGAATGGAAATTTGTCTAAGGAGGATCAGATCCATGGTGATGTAAACTGATGTTTCTTGAAGACTGCAAGAGGAGGATTACTTACCTCTTTATAAACATTTTTATTCTTGGAAGCACCTACCTTTGGCCTTGGTTTGCATATAAGGAAGTTGAAAAGAGAGGAAAAAAAGTCGGGGGAAAATGCAAAGAAAAAATGTTCTCTGCCAAGTCTGGAAAGAGTATTCTTCTGTAAGTGATATTTAATTTTCTTTTCAATTATTTACATTTGTGGGAAAGCAGGACTAAGCATTGAACCCTTAGAGGTGAATGTGGGGGTAGATCTTTCTGTCCTGTGTAACAGGACCTGCCTTCAAAGGTGGCTGTGGCACTCCCTGGAGGGCACACTAGGCCCATTCATACTCTGGCTTATAAGGTTGGGTATTGCCCTACCCTTGCCTGCCATGCAATGATGGCAAATAAATAATCATTTGGGAGGCTGTCCTCAGAAAAACAGAGTTTAGCCTTAGATGCCTCCTTCGGCCTTACTCATCATTGGGTGGCCAGTCTGGCCCAATCTGCACTGGTCCTTTCAACAGCTGGCCTCCCATTCCATTCTCTCTGTCTCCAATCTAAGGCCCAATTAGTCCTAATTGCTCTTTGGCCTTTTGGCCCTACCTTAGCTTGCCCCTCACTGCAGTTCAAGGCTTCATCTTGTTTATACTGTCTATCCTGAACAGACTACTGGCACTCCTGAAGTACCAATTGGAAGCAGTCCCAGCTCCCTTTGGGCTCATGTGCACGCTATCAGCTCTGTCCCTGAAGGAGGCCTTGCCTGTCCTGGGCAGGCTGTCACAGCATCACAGGGCTACTATTTAGGGCTATGCAAAATTTCGCCGGTTGTTTCATTTTGATGCTGTTTTGACTCGTTTCGAGCTTGAAACAGCAAAATCAAAACAAAACGAAAGGCTTTGAAACAGCCTTGAAATGAAATGAGGGCACTCCAAACGTTTTGAAAGTTTCGAAAGTTTTCGAGTTTCAAAGCTGGGCTTGCCTGCAGTGAAACAGAAAGTAAGGAGGGGAAGGAAGGACTGCTCTGATATTGATGTGTGTAGCTGACCAGTGACCGTGATCCTTCCCTGAGGTCCCTTCCAATCCCAGTGCTCTGAGGGAGGGACGGAAAAACAGCTGCACCTTAACACACACAGTCATACATGTCAGGAGTTTTGCTTGTCAGCAGCTTGAGGTGCAGTTTCCCAGAAACCCCTGCACCTAACTCCTTGAAACTTGACAGGCTTCGTGGCCTCAGCAGGGGCTACCATCCCTGCAGTTTTCACCCCCCCCTTTGCAGGTTATACTAACCTGCAAAGATTGAAACAATTCAGACTCAGGCTTTTTGAATGCCTGTCCCTAGCTCAGAAGCTCAGTGTACATAAACAACTGCCAAAATAGCCAGAACTGGTTTAAGATAAACCTGATTGGATGTAGTATCAGACTTAACTGATTTAGGTCAAACCAACTTATGGAACTTCTGTCCCAGATCCTTTCCCAGTTCAAGTTAACTCATATTCCCCCAGCATCCCAGGATGCTTTGCAGCCCTGGGCTGTGCTGTCTGCTCTAGTGAAGCAAGGACTGCCCCACCCCTCTGCTCCAAAGCCTGCTTCCTGTCTGTGTGTGTCAGCCCATGGTGAGGAGGGACAGGGGAACAGACCCCCAGACCCTCCTAGCCTGGGTCTACATAGTGCAGGAGGAAGAAAAGCCCCCATGCTGGGGGCTTTTTACCCCTCCACAACCCTTTCCCCACCAGGGGCAACTTGGGGAGTGGAGATAATTCCCCACCCTGCTCCCCTACACAGCTGCTTGCCTTAGCTGCTGCCACAGGAGGGTGGGGAAGGAGTTCCCAAGGCCATGGTTTTGCTGTTGTCTGAGGCAAAAGCAGCTGGTGAGGAGTGGGAGAATTTCCTTCTGCTCCCTGAGGTTGTCCTGGGTTGTCCCTGAGACTCACAGGGGCTGAGGCAAGCAGCTGTGGGGTTCAGGAGGGAAGAATTCCCCTCAGCTGCCTGGGGCTGCCCAGGGCTGGGAGACCCTGGGCTGGGGTGGGGGGAAGGCCCCCAAGGCAGGGGCTCCCTGGTGTCCCCCACTGGACTTCTCCCTCCCTCCTGTGGCAGCAGCTGAACCAGTCAACAGCTGGAAGGGGGAAAGGGGGGGAATTCCCTTCAGCTCTCCAGGGCTGCCCAGCTAGGGGACCCCAGCAAGGGAGGAGGGACCCCTCTGAGGCAGGGGGTCCCCCAAGGTGGGCCAGCATCTGGACAGGGTGTCATCAATCCCCTGTGTGGGAACAGCAGGAGGTTCGGAGCATGTACTGGGGAGCCAAAGGGGGATGGCCCCACTTGGCTGGGCTGGTAATGGCTAGTAGGCTGGGAGGCATGCTTTAGTGCCCCCTGCCTACTGACCTAGGTCAGTACGGGGGCCCCCTGCCCCCCGCCTTTCTTAATCGAAAACTGAATGTCAGTTCAGTTCAGTGGCGACGAACAGGGGGTGCACGTGCGCGCACTGAGAGCACTGGTGCACCCCCTCACAGCAGTATTCCCCACTTAGGCGTTGGGCGGGGGGGCAGGTGGGAGTGCTGGTGCCCCCCCAAAAGCACCAGCCAGGGAGTGGGAGTGCCAGGAGAAGTGCTGCTGGCACTTCTGGGCACGTCCCTGGCCCTTCTGGGCACACTGCTGCCACTTCCAGGCAGCATTCCTCTTAGAGCCGCTGACTGGGTGCTGGGGGGGGTGGGAAGTGCCCCCCCGACTCAGGAGGCTCCAGTCACCTATGGTTTAGCTGGTATCAGTTCAACCTATGCAGCTTAGTTTTTTGACTGTCTGTACGTAGCCATGACACTCTCTTATCCAGCCACGACACTCTCTTATCCAGGCACAGGGGCTATTCATTGGTATCATCAGCCCCACCCCTTCTACTGCAGCATTAATTAGGTGCTTGGAGCTCTGATCCTGTAGCCTGCTGTTTGCAACCCAGAGTCCTGCAGCTCTTTAGCTCTGCTGCCTGGCCCTACTCTTAGTAACAGGGTCTGTAGCCCCCATTTCACCCCCTTTATTGTCATTTGAAGTTTATCATTGCCTTTTTGGTCCCAAAGGTTGTCCATTCTTTTAGAGGGATTTTTAGGGATTAATGTGCTTACTGTTTGACTACCAAATCATGGATTCATGTCTGGAAATTCTCATATTTCTAGAACTGGTAGAAAGTGTTAGTTCTTTTCCATGGAATTTTCTCTAAGACACTTGATTTTTTTCTATGTTCCCAGCAGATTTTACTGCTTTTTCAACAAAAGGCCAAGAAAAAATATGGTACCTGGGAAACATTTTTAGTCAAAAACAATTTGAGTGTAACTACAGATGCAGAAAAAAATACTACATGCTATTAGGTTTCAAGATTTTCTATGAGAAAGGGGAAACCTTGAACCAGGGATTTTTCCATAGAGATGACATTGTTCCGTGGAGATGAAAAATTACAACCAAGATAAAAATTTTCTATTAAAAAAAAATTATCTGGTGGAAGAGCTATTCCATCAACACATTTCAGGTTGCCATATTTCTTTGTGCTGTTAGCAAGGCTGCCCATAGCATTTTTTTTTCCAGGGAATTGG